ACTATAGATCATTGTAGTGCCACCAAACTTGTAGCACACATAGATAACCTCATGTAGTTTAGATTACAACTCTTACTTTGGGAAAATTTGCTAAACTCTATTTTTTTATTTTTTTCATTGTTATTTTAAGCAGGCCAGGTGTGCAACCTCTGCAACAGGAATCACAGCACTGAGCGTTGTGTGCACTGCACAAAGTATACAACATGAAAAGGCGAAACAGGACAAAATACTATTATTCTCTATTCTTTCACATATTGAGCTTTACAATATAAATGAGTGTGTTGGTGATTGGACAATATAAATAGGCCCTACCTTGCCTTGTTGGTAAAGCATTGTTATAACCTGTTCTCAGCTCAGGAACTAGGACCCGTGTGATATCTGGGTGTTCAATAGGTTTGCCTAAATAAAAGATTTAGATCTGACTTATCAATACATTCCTGCAAAAAGGTCTGATGTTGCAGGGGAAGGTAATGAAAAGTGTTTGGAGCATGCTCTTGTTCTAAAGCCAATTTGTTTCAGCCTTTATCCAGTCTCATGCACAAGGGCTGGTCACATCACAGGTTATTTGCATTACAACAAGGACAGTTAGCAAGGTAGAGTGAATACACAAACTTAAAGAGAGCAGCGGGGCTTGCAGGAAAACTGGAATTCTCTGGGATATCTAGTTTTAACTTTCTAAACGGGGTATTGAGGCTGCTTCCTCCAGGTGGTACCTGACACAATTGCTGTCCTCCGAAAAAATCAGTCAAGGAGAATCCAGCCGACAATACCAAATTGTAGTGGAAAAAGAGTATCCAACTATTCACCCTAGTTAAATAAATATATTAATGGGGTTCGATGGATTTAACTCAGTCTGCATTTTATTTGATCATATCTTTGCAAAGAGAGAACAGTTCATCATACAGCCCTTATGGCACAGCATTCTGCCCTGTTCTGCCTGAGCAGCCTTCGTTCCCCTTTACTTAAAACAATGGAAAAGTAGTCAGCATCAAAACAAATGACAGACACTTTGGTTAACACCAACATGTCATAAATAAACCTTGAGAATGAATCTGGCTTGTTATAGGAAGAGGCTGTCTGGTCTACAAACACTCCTCGCCAGATAATGGTGTGGCCTTGAAGGTTCTGACTTATCCTTGAAGATCTTTCCGCCCCGGCAGGATCTCCTTCTTGCCGGAGATGGACCCCAGAGGAGGCAAAGAGAGAGAGAATTCTGTGTGCTCTGTTATTTTGTCTATCATCACACAGAGGGGGTTGGTTGGTCATACCTCTGTGACTTGCCATGTGACTTGCCTGTGGAGCTTTGATTGAAAAGCGGGGGCTGCAGAGGTCCTCCAGCTGTTATTCACCAAAGCTGTGTCCTCTTCTCTGTTCATCATGTCAAGATGAAATATGGACACCCCTCTCACCCTGGAAATAACTGGTTTTATATACTTGCAAAAAGTTCCAACAGGACAAAAGCCTCTCACCTAAAATATTTCCTTTTCCCATCTGCCAATAACCTTTTTAACAAGGCTCAGTTACTACACCCACATTTTAATTTAGCTAATAATACGAATAGCTCAGCAAATGTAAATACTATTTTATTTAGTTTCATATTATTGGTACTGTACATTCTTAATCCAGTGTACAATGCAATGACCCCGTTGGTAGTGAGCTATATCTTAACCGCATATATCCTATGGCTCAGTAACAGAGGCAAGCCTGCCGTTCACAGGGGCAACAGGGCCCTCATATTCCATTATAAAGTCCTGCATCCTACTTCAATGTCAATGAAGACATATTTCTGATATTTTTATTTATCATATTATATATGTTACTGACTGTCTGATATATATGTTTTATATTTCCTCTTATTACAGAGTTGTGGGCTGTAAACTCTCAGAGACTGAATGTGATGTTGTGGCCTCGGCGTTAAATTCCAACCCCTCCCTTCTGAGTGAACTATATATTATTGAGATCTGCGGAGTTCGGGACTCTGGAATGAAGAACCTGTGTCTGATACTGAAAAGTCCAATCTGTAAAGTGAATATTCTGAGGTTAGTTTTTATTTAACTATGTAAAATCAAAAAATTATGTACTGAAACACCACAACAAATTAACCTTTTAACATCCACCTCCTTTTGGGTAATCCTCACCTATTTTGCATACCAAAATGGAAAAGCAAATAACTTAGGAACTATTAGCCCAAATTACATGTGCAATTCATTATTTGACAGCTAACAACCCTCTAGTTTCCCAAAATATAAATAAAAATTGGGTGACGAGAACACAGACCAACCTGCATCAGTTCAAACATGACTCAAAATTGTTTGTTTTTTTTCCTCGGAAATTATAGGTCTTTTTTAAACAGCAGTAATAAAGCCATTCTTGAGAAGAGGCAGGTTTTATTGTATTATATTTGTTCTACATAATGTCAACCGCAAATGCTTAAAATGTCAGACCTCTAGCTATAACAGTTCCAGAGCTGTGGGGTATAGAACTTTTGGTGTCAGCTCGGAGCTGCGTGCAGTGGCTCCACCTGCTGGTAAAAAATTTTACCGATGGAACTTTATGCATTCTGAATTATTACCTCCACCTAAGGTCCAACGGTTCGCCAACTATTAAGGGGTTAAGTGGTAGTACTACAAATTTAGACTAATTTATAGAGTAATCTGAGACTTTTGAGAAAGATTCTAGTAATCTAATTACTCGAGAGAGGCAATTTTTTGAGTGCTGGAGATAAAATAATACATCATCTGCACAAAGACAAATTTTATGCTCTATTTTCAGGCATTTTATACCTTTAACAACATTAGATTGTCTAATTGTTTCTGGTAGAGGCTCAATAAAAATAGCAAAACGTGAGGGGGAGAGCGGGCATCCCTGCCAAGTGCCCCTAAGTCACCAAGTTCCATTTTTTAAATAAGCTATCCCCTTAGCCAGCTGGTGACCCACATTTTCAAAATAGCTGTTGAATTTGTTTGGTATATCATTTGGATTTCTTATTAGTACTTTATTGTTCTTTCTAAGTAGCTTATAATCTCTTTTGTTGATTGTACTTTCCAAATAACATATCATATCAGTTTAATAAAAAACAGTGTAATCTGATCTCATAAGTTGCCTCAGGACAATGGTTTCCTAGCTTCATAAAATGAAGGAATTTACATCAGAATTGTCTCTAGATTAGAAATAACTCTGCTTTAAAGAAGGGGCCCGGGGGGCGATTGTCGTCACAGCTCTTGCAATGAGGGTTAAATATGGATTAAAAATTAGATATCAATCTTTTGGTGACTTTGAGAATTGAGTATATTTTGGTTTCAGTCTGCATCCTGTTGACTTAAGCTTACACAGTTTCTTCTGTTTTCAGATTGAATGACTGCAACTTGTCAGAGATGAGTTTTGAATCCCTTTTCTCTGCTCTGAAGGACAACCCTTCCCATCTGAAAGAACTGGTCCTGAGTGGGAACAGAGACCTAAATGTTGTTGGAGTGAAGGAGCTAAGTGACTTTTTGCAGCTTCCCAGCTGCAAACTAAAGATATTGAGGTTAGACAGTATGTTTTAGTTGTTTTTTTATGATAGGAAAATTATCCTGACTCTAAACTGCAGATATAGCTAGTCCCACTCTTCAGATCCCTAATGACAGTGTTAATGTTTTCCCCTTATATTCTAGTAAGGTTAGCTCACACTACATAACAGCCATTAAACACAAATAACACAAATAAACAAACAATATTATAGGAACAAAAAACGTTCCTTAAGTCCGGTTCCTTAACATTTTCATGCATATTTACATTTGTGCGGTGAACACATATTTAATATTTATTCAGACTTAAGGCTTTTCAGTTTTAAACCTAAACTAAGTCTGCATAATGGTATTTCTTAAAAATCATCACTGTCGCAACAAGCATGCTTATTGTGAGGGATTGCTGAAAAGTCAATGAGTAAATGCAATCAACTAGTTTTCCTTAGATAAAAAACTATGAACTGATCTGAGTGGATGATCTCTTAAAGACCCACCTCTTTTCTTTGCTGTCACCTCTGATTCTAACTAGGGTTTTTTTTCTAGAGAAGTTATTGTAATAGTGATAACAACTGTAACATTGTCTACTTTGTAAGCTGCTTTGGATAAAAGCATCTACTAAATACATAAACATAAACATAATCCTCCTCTTCATGCTGGTATTGATAATATGATATCCTTGGGTGTTTTTTCCAAATGGTTTTTCCACTGATTAAAAGCAGAGACCAGATTCAAATTTTAAAATTTAAGGGCAAACTCCAACTGGTTTTATAGGCTGTAATAGCTGCATTTGGCACTGTGGATCACAGCAGTGTAAACCTTTGTTTAATTTTCTGTCCCACAGTCAGGATAGAGTGTAATCAGAATACCAATGATTGCTGCTGCTGAGAAATGAGTTTGGGAAGCTCATAACATGGGGAAAACAGCAGGGAAGCTCTGATGAGAAACAACCTAAGGTGTTTTTGGGACAGCAAAATCTAGATAAAGAATTCAATTGAATTCAGTTTATTTCTATTGCAGAGCATGATGTGTACAGAAAAACACAGAGCCCCTGACCCCAGTGTCCTCCATAGCTACAACCATCAAATAAACCTTTACAATATGATCCATAAAACATGTGTGACAGTGAAAATAGTATGTATTGTCAACAATCTACATTTATTCAAGTTTTGCTTCTATATTCCCTCTTGAGTAGTTTATTTGTGAAACTTGAATTATTTGTCTGCACAACGTCAGTTAATATGAAGAGTGCTGCTACTGCAACTAAAATATTTTAAAAACAGAAGTAATTAACTATTTATTAAATGAGTATGTTGTCCATCACAACAACAGCTCTCTATTTTGTTCAGTTATATATTGCAAACCTGCATTCTAATGTTTTATTTCTTATTCAGATTGAAGGACTGCAGTTTGTCAGAGAGCAACTGTGCTTCTTTGTTCTTGGCGCTAAAGTCGAACCCCTCCCATCTAACAGAACTGGACATGAGTGGGAATGACCTGAAAGAAGCTGGAATAAAGGAGCTCTGTAATTTTCTACAGACTCCTTTGTGCAAACTACAGATATTATTGTAAGAAACCATATTTCTTCTCTGCACTGGTTTGATTTGATAAAAGTTCTCTTTATTTCAAACATTCTGCTGCAATTAATACAATAATAAGCAAAACACATTAAAAGTGGTATTCATTTTTATACTAATGGCCATCATGAGATTTTATATGGGATTTCTTTAAAAAAGTTAATGTAGTTAATCCATAATCATCTCAATGGAAATGTTCAAATATCAGTAGAATAGTAGCGGTTGCACGAAACCAGGGTAATAAAATCTGCTTTAGAGCAGCAAGATGTGTTCAGTTCTTCACATAAACATGAGGATCAGGCAAAAAACTTTTGAGAGTTCCTGTATGTAAAGTATATGACACGCTATCGACTTGATCAGATAAGCACACTGAATCGAGGTATGGCCCTTTGGAGCATTTAATACTGACCAGTGGCCAACATAATCAAATAAAATAGATGATAACTTACATTATGTGACATAATAACTGAAATGCTAAAAAATATGGTTCTTCTGGACCATCGGGTGGCGGTCGTTGGGGGGGTACTATTAGGATTCCAGTTTGTGGGGCTTGTTTTTATTGTTTTGCAGTTTTCACCGTGCACCCACTAAATGGTGCCATTGTTCTCTGCTGGTCTGGAGGTTTCCTGTTTTTCTCACCTCACACCTGCAGCCTATTGGGTCATCACTCCCTGAGTAGTATTTAAGGAGAAGACTGTCTTGAATTCCTCGCCAGAGTGTTTGCCAATATTGGGTACTCTAGCCCCTCTGAGTTTGCTGAGTCACTTTGAGTCCAAGTTTCTTCAGAGCTCTTTCAGCGCTAAACAAGTTTTCTTTTTCATTCTCTGGCAGGAATTTTCAGACCCACTGTATAAGCTGGCCCTTCAAGTCTTGGAAGGGATACACTCGTCACACTGAGAAAAGGAGATGGATCTCCTCATCTGCATGCCGAGCACTTCAGGAACCAAGTGTCAGTCTGGTCTACTGCTCCTCAGGATCTCCTTAGTCTTCCTGTCCACCCTCCAACAAACTAATCCTTCTACAGACCAAGCTTCCACAAACAGGATCTCAGAAAACCCTACCCAACAACCACTGTGAGTCCAAGTTACCTTGTATTCAGACCTTCGCCCAGTTTTCCCACAGTCCTTGAACTCACCACTCTGATCTCCTCCTAGAGCTGCAGGAACCTCCCCAAGCTGAAGAACGGTTTTTCCTATCTCTGTACAGTTATTCTTCAATAAACTGTTAAAACTTTCTCGGTCAAATATATTAGACCCATCATGACAGAACACTCTGGCCAAACCGTAGACCCAGCAGAAGCTATCCAGAGAACAATCCAATTCCAACAAACAGCTATCCAGAAACATGACCACACTCTCTTGGAACTGGTAAACCAACAGGCTGAGATGAATCGACAAATAACGGATTTTACTGAATTATTCCGTGTCCACTATTTACAGAATGCAGGTCCGGTCAGTGAGGCTGCACTGCCTCCAGCAGCCCAACCTCCAGTCCGTTCCACTTTTTCTGAGTGTCTGCTGCCCAATCTTCTCAGGTTTGATGGGGATCCCAAGAAGTGCAGAGGGTTCCTCATGCAACGCTCAATCCAGTTCAGCCATTCTCCTAGTAAGTTTGTTTTGGATACCTCTAAGATCTCCTACATTATTTCACATTTATCTGATCGTGCTTTGGACTTGGCAGAGATAAGGTTCTCTTCATCCCCTCAATACAATTGTACATTTAAGGAGTTTTGACAGAGTTTAAACAAACCTTCAACCATGATACAGATAAGGCTCTTAGCTCCCGAGATCTCATAAAGCTAAGACAAGGACAAAGATCAGTTGCTGATTTTGCTATTGACTTCCGCATACAGGCAGCGGCATCTGGATGGAACAATGTAGCTCTCAAGAGTAATTACTTAAATGCCTTAAATGAGTCCGTGAAGGACGAACTAGCCACTTTAGATGAACCTGAGTTGTTGGAGGACCTTATTAGATTGTCTATCTGATTGGATAATCGGATGCAAGCTCGAGCTAAGGAGAGGGCTAATAGAAACGCTCAATCCAAATCACTTCCTGTTACCAGTCATGCAGATCCTACCAAGCCTTCACAGGGTCTAGCCAGTCCAGAACCCATGCAAATTGGACATATAAGATTGAGTCCTGAACATAAGCAGCTCAGAATGCGTGCTAAGTTTAGTCTCTATTGAGGTGAGGCTGGTCATTTTGTTTCCCTTTGTCCCCTGCTGTTAAAAGCAAGTGTCCACCAGTAAAGGCGAGGGTGCTGGCAGACCAAAAGATTTCTTCCAGTTTACCTCGTCTACTTTTGCCACCTTCAATTCAGATAAGCAATCAGACCCTTTCCCTGACAGCTTTACTCGACTCCAGCTGTAAACAAAACTTACAGTATTGGATTCATCCTTTGTGCAACAGATGGGAATAGAGACCATACCCCTTCAAGTCCCTCTTCGTGTTTTTGCCCTTGATGGCAGGAATCTGCCTCAGATAACCCACCGGACCCGGCCTATTCAACTAACAGTTTCTGGTAATCACACTGAGTTTTTGTTCCTTCTACATCTTCCCAACTGCTAACTCAGCCATGATCCTAGGATTCGAGTGGCTGCAGCTTCATAATCCTTTCATCAATTGGTCCAATAGACATATTGACTCCTGGTCTGTTAACTGCCATTCATCTTGTCTCCGCTCAGCAGTTCCGCCAGGCGCCCAACCGGCTGTAGGTTATGAAGTTGACCCTCCAGATCTTTCATCAGTCCCGGCAGACTATCATGATTTGGCTCAGGTTTTCAGTAAGTCTAAAGCCTTGTTTCTGCCTCTCCACAGACCTTATGATTGCTCCATAGACCTGCTTCCCAGAGCACCTTTACCCAGCATCCGTCTTTACAATATTTCCAAACCAGAAAGGGAGACCATGGAAAAGTATGTTGAGGAGTCCCTGGCTGCTGGCATCATTCAACCCTCTTCATCACCCCTTGGTGCAGGATTCTTTTTTGTCGCTAAAAAGGATGGTTCCTTAAGACTCTGCATAGACTATAGAGGTCTGAACCAAATTAAGGTAAAGAAAAAGTACCCTTTGCCTCACTTGTCCTCTGCTTTTGAGCCTGTACAGGGAGCTACTGTGTTTACTAAGCTGGACTTAAGAAATGCCTATCACCTACTTCGCATTAAGGAGGGGTCCGAGTGGAAGACCGCCTTCAAAACTCCACTCGGACATTTTGAATATTTGGTGATGCCTTTTGGTTTGACTAACGCCCCTGCTTGTTTCAAAGCCCTGGTGAACGATGTTTTGAGAGATTTCCTCAATGTCTTTGTTTTTCTTTTACATTAATGATATTTTGATTTTCTCCAAGAACCTTTCTGAGCACAAGAACCATGTCAACCAACTTCTTCAGCGCCTCCAGGAAAAGTTATTTGTCAAGGCTGAGAAGTGTGAATTTTACAGACCTGTCTTGTTTCTGAGCTTCATTCTAGAGGTGCGGACAGGTTAGACCCACTGAGGAAAAGATCAAAGCAGTTTTGGACTGGCCAACTCCAGAAACGAGAAAGCAGCTACAGAGATTTCTGGGATTTGCTAATTTTTATTGGAGGTTTATTCGCAATTACAGTCAAACAGCTTAACCCCTTACAGCTTTAACCTCCACCAAGACCATCTTTAACTGGAGCCCTGAGGCAGATGCAGCTTTTAACCAGTTAAAGAACCTGTTTGCTAACGCACCTGTTCTCATTCAACAAGATCCCACCAAACAGTTAATTCTGGAGGTGGATCCCTCAGATTCTGGAGTAGGAGCTGTTCTCTCTCAGATATCTGATACAGACCATACGACTCATCTGTGTGCCTTTTTTCCTACAGACTGCCTCCTGCCGAGAGAAATTATAATGTTGGGGACAGAGAGCTGCTAGCTATCAGACTAGCCCTTGAGGAGTAGAGACACTAGAGGGGGCTGAACATCCTGTTGTGGTTTGGACAGACCACAAAAATTTGTCATACCTTCAATCTGCTAAGAGACTTAATCCTCGTCAATCCCGTTGGTCTTTGTTTTTCCCACAATTCAACCTCACCATTTCCTTTTGTCCTGGTTCCACAAACATTAAGCCTTGCGCTCTCTCTAGACAGTTCGCCCCAGACGATTCTGAGAGGATGCCCTCTCCCATTCTTCCTCCGAGCTGCTCTATTGCCAGAGTTACTTGGGAGATAAAGGATCTGGTAAGACAATCACAGTAATCTGAACCTGATCCCGGGACTGGTCCCCCCCAAGATTTATGTTCCTTCTGCTATTCGTACTCGTGTTATCAATTGGTTGCATTCATGTAAGTTCTCAGGTCATCCAGGCATCAGTAGGACTGTTGCTTTAATCAACCAGCACTTCTGGTGGCCATCAATTCAAAGGGATGTTAAGGAGTTTGTGTTGGCCTGTCCGACCTGTGCTTGAAATAAGTCCTCGCATCAGCCCCCATCTGGTCTGCTACAACCTTTGCCCATACCTAAACGACCCTGGTCACACATAGCCATTGAATTCGTCACCGGATTACCCATCTCAAAAGGTATGACCACAATCTTTACAATAATCGACCGCTTTTCTAAGGCCTGCCACCTTGTTTTATTGAGAACACTGCCCTCAGCCTTTCAGACTGCCCAACTCCTGGTTGAACACATCTTCAGCCTACATGGCATTCCTCAAGACATCCTCTCAGACCAAGGACCTCAGTTCATCTTTCAGTTTTCGAGAAATTTTTGTTCGGCTCTTGGGGCCAAAGTTTCACTCACCTCTGGCTGTCACCCACAATCTAACAGCGAAGTAGAACTGATGATCCAGGAGTTGGAAGCCACTCTCAGATGCCTAACAACAGCCAACCCCTCCGATTGGAGCCTCTATCTACCCTGGGTAGAATATGCACATAATTCACACATCTCATCTGCTACCAGTTTTTCCCCTTTTGAGATCTCACTGGGGTATCAACGTCCTTTGTTACCAGCTGACGAGAAAGACCTCTCAGTTACATCTGTCCAGCACCATGTCTGCCGCTGTAAAGCAGTCTGGAACAAGACTGTTGCGGCCCTAAGTAGAACGATGGAACAGAACTGTTGTTGGGCAGATCGTAGGAGGAGGGTCACCCCTACCTTCTCTCCTGGCCAAAAGGTTTGGCTATCTACAAGGGACATCCCACTCAAATCAATGTCCAAAAAGTTGTCTCCCTGTTTCATTGGTCCTTATTAGGGGGAAAAGATCGTTGGCCTTTCAGCTGTCCGTCTGCACCTGCCCACCTCCCTCAGAATCATCGCACTTTTCACATCTCTCAGATTAAGCTGGTTCAGTCCAGTCCCTTGTGCCTACCCGCTGAGCCCCCTCAACCTTTGGACATTGACGGCCACTCCGCCTACTCAGTTCGCCAGATAGTGGGCAGGGTTGGCAATACCTGGTTGTTTGGGAGGGTTATCGACCTGAGGACTGCTTTATTTTGGACTCCTCTCTTATAGCTGATTTTCGTTCTTCTCAGCCCTCTGGTTGTTCTGGACCGTCGGGTGGCAGTCGTTGAAGGGGGGGGCGGGGGGGGGGGGGGGGGGGGGGTAGTACTGTTAGGATTCCAGTTTGTGGGGCTTATTTTTGTTCTTTTGCAGTTTTCACCATGCACCCACTAAATGGTGCCATTGTCCTCTGCTGGTCTGGAGGGTTTCCTGTTCTTTTCACTTCACACCTGCAGCCTATTGGGTCTTCACTCCCTGAAGAGTATTTAAGGAGCAGACTGTCTTCACTTCCTCACCAGAGTGTTTGCCAGTATTCAGTACGCTAGCCCCTCTGAGTTTGCTGAGTCACTTTGAGTCCAAGTTTCTTCAGAGCTCTTTCAGCACTAAACAAGTTTTCTTTTTCATTCTCTGGCAGGAATTTCCAGACCCACTCTATAAGCTGGCCCTTCAAGTCTTGGAAGGGATACACTCGTCACACTGAGAAAAGGAGATGGATCTCCTCATCTGCACACCAAGCACTTCAGGAACTGTCAGTCTGGTCTACTGCTCCTCAGGATCTCCTTAGTCTTCCTGTCCGCCCTCCAACGAACCAATCTTCTACAGACCAAGCCTCCACAAACGGTATCTCAGAAAACCCTCCCCAACAACCACTGTGAGTCCAAGTTACCTTGTATTCAGACCTTCACTCTGTTTTCCAACAGTCCTTGAATTCACCACTCTGATCTCCTCCTAGAGCTTTCGCTTCTGGTTCACCAGACTGCAGGAACCTCCCCAAGCTGAAGAACTGTTTTCCTATCTCTGTACAGTTATTCTTCAATAAACTTAAAATTTTCTCGGTCTCTGTGAGTGCTTCTGCATGTGGGTCAAACATATTCGACCCATCATGACACTCTCTAAGGTCCGTACAATAAAGCGAGGCCAATGTACTGGGATTCCTCCCAGTCTATCCAGTTAAACCAGTCCTAAGTAACCAGGATCAGCGGTTCCACCAAGGTGGTTATCAACTCGCTAACTCCATCCAGGTTGTATAAAGGGGTGTTTTCCGGGTACCAGACCAATCAGAATCATAAGAGCAGAAGGCAGAGAGCCGTATTTCTTCTGAGGAACAAAAACTCATATTAGAGAAACATAAATAGTTAAAGAAAATTCTGAATAAAAAGTTAAACAATGTGGCAGACTAGACAATATGCCAAATTACGGCAAAGGATTGGTGACTGCGTTAATGATCAAGCTCCACATCAGAGTCATTGAATGCAGCCTGCATCCCGATCACTGCAGATTAATGAAGGGAAATGGATAGAAATTAAACCCCAAAACATAATTTATCTGCTTAGATGAATTTTCACATTCAATTATGTTTGGACTCCAATAAAGCTGATGCTACAATTACAACAGGAAGTGATCAGTCTGAGGAAAATCATCCTGATTTCTGAGCTGGGAGAACTTTTTTTTTTTTTTCCTGTCGGTTTACCCCTTAATCACCAATTGCAGCAGCTTCTCATTTATACTGTAACAGCAAACAAGAAAAAAAGATTTATGTATTCACCAACTTGTATATTTAACAGCCTGACTTTTATGATGTTATGAGTGTGAAATTTCACATAAACACAGATAATAACCTACCTGGAGTGGAATAAAATCCTTTTTATAGATGTTTTTCAGGCCAGTCAATCAGTGTCCCAGACGGTTGACATGAAGCTGCTAGCTGAATAATATCTCATGGCCATACATCCAGTCTGTGATACAGTGAGGAACACGTTCCCGTGGGTCGCACAGCTGACAGTATTTGGTGTCAGTCTTACCCTAACCCGTGGAAACCTGTATCACTTTTATATAAGTCATTGTCATATTGGTCCAAAGGAAGTTTTCACCTTTTGTGCTCTGACTTTCATTATTTATTTATTAATTAGCTTACTTAAGGAGGTATTACATCCATTTTAGATGTGATTAATCTATCTCTGTTTACAGGGATGTACCAAAGGCTTTTAAGGTCGCTGTAATTAAACCTTTGCTTAAGAAACTGTCTCTTGACCCAGATGACTTGGTCAATTATAGACCTATATCAAATCTTCCTTTCTTATCTATAATTCCTCTGCCTGCTCCATCACACTGCCACACATGTAGGTTTTTGGAGAGGTGGTCGTTACTGGAGGGCCCCATCTTCTGATTGTGTCCCCCACCCCAATTTTATTTTGCATTTTAGACACTTCCATCTACAACATTTTCACAACACACATCTATGTAGGGCATTTGCCGGGGGGGTGGGGGTCAAGGGCACCCAGGGGGGGCTTATTTTATGGGCCTCACCACAGTTGGATCGCCCCATCCCCTCTTGCATTTAGACACTGAGGGTTCTGCATTGTCGAAAGGGGGATGCGCTGGCACTGCTTCTCTCCCGGATGGGGGGTGGACTGTGCAGGACACCCCATTTTGGTACTCCCAGTTTTAATTAAACCTGAGAGCAACATGCAACAACATCACATTCGAGCGGGCACAGGGAGGATCGGGGTCTTCTCACACCCCTGTTCTCGGGCTGCCACCCGGAAGCTGGGGCTGGTGAAAAAAACGAGCCGCCTTGTCTGAGGTCTTGGCAGGGGGCTGCTGCGTTGCCTAGGTGGCCTGCCGGTGTCGGAGCTCTCACCTCATGGGGCCTCGGTTCCCTGGGGCCCAGGGCCGGATTCACTTCAGGGTGGCTGGCTGCCAGTGGAGCCCGCGGATTGGTCCCCGTGGCTCTCCGGGGCTCCGGCATAGTGGTGGCTGGGGGACTTCCTCGGGGCTGTCTCTCTGATCCCTTGGTGGGGGCTGTATTTCCTGGGCTGGCCCCTCCTTGGTGCCATCACTCTTGGGGTCCCTTTGGATGTCTGGGGCTTTGGGTCTTCCGGCACTGGACTAATGGGCATTTTTTCTTTGGATAAACTTTACATGCACAAGTGCACTTTCACAAACAACTACAGGTGCTTGGTTCCAGGTACTAAGAGATTCACTTCAATACAGAAAGCCCACATTCTTCAGGTAACACAGAGTACATGTCAGATTAAATAACACTACTTCAGCGATAGTTTCAAGGTGTTACTTTATTGTATATCTCGTACCATGTCCGTTGGCTCTGCTGTTCTTTTTACATTTCTTTGCAGGTGATGAGGCAGACAGAAAATGTTTTATTCTTATCTCCTTTCTATCTCCTCTTTCTTTTATCTTTTCCCCTTTTCTTTGTTTTTCCTCTTCTGTTCTATTTACATAGCAGAGTCCAAATAATCTGTAAAACTTCCTGCATAATTATAATAAAGCAATTTATATGCATGAAACAAGCGGAACACTATGGCGATAGCCCTACTGCTCCACTTGTGAAAGTAAAATCTGTTGGGCTTTTTTTGGCATCAAGAGAATTATTCTTATTGCCACATCGCCAGAAACGACATTTTGAAAAACAAACAAACAAAAAAAAGACGAATGAATCCAGATTTGTGGTATCGAAAAGTAAGGGTTAAACCTGAAGTTATCTTGCTAACCCAATAATCCAGTGCCGTGGTATGGGCATCTGCTCCACTGTGTAGGTAAACACCTATTTAAACCAATAAGCTGTTACCACAGTAACTATACCTGTTATACAAACACACACACACCTACCATTATGACTCCTACATTTCACTTAATATTTTTTATCATGTCATAATTCATTTGCCAAACAAAGCATACATCTACTGCTTACTGTTCTTATTTTTTTACTCAACTCTACTCAAATTCTACTTTCATAGCATGTGCAACAGCATTGTACCTCTATTTAAGGTCAGAACATCATTTTGACTTCAAGTAGATTTTAAATTCTGTTCTGTGAAGCAAGTTAATTTAATCTTGAATTAGGGTACAGTGTGCTTTTATATTTATATTGCACCTTTCACAGACCAATGCCACGAAGTGTTTCACAACACAGTTTAGAAACATCAGAAAAAAACACAATATAAAAGGCACACAAAAAGACATGATGGCAGCCTAAAAGCTAGTTAGAGCCTGTATAAATAAATGGGTCTTAAGTAAGCTCTTAAAGTTGACAACAGAGTCAAGAGACCACAATGCAGGTGCAAGATCATAAGAAATATCTAACAGCTGATGGATCCTTGAAGACTTTTCAAAGGTCTCAAATTATTTTACTGATTAAGATGCTCAAGCAACATGTTTCAGTATACAACTTCCAAAGTTTGACAAAAATGTAACCATTAAAGAATTGTGGCTGTGGAATGATAAATAAACTGAAGTTATCTGCGTTAATCCACATTTTTATATGTATTTTATTTTTCTGACCATTTTTTCAGTTACATTAGCATTGACTAAGATGCTGGTGGAGCTAACAGTTTGAGAGTTGATGTCAGCAGGTCTTTATAGAAGCAGCATCATGCTCTGTTGAAAGGTTTTGACTTGCATGCTGTTGACTTTTGCTCATGTCTCCTTTTTGTTGTTCAGATTAAAGAACTGCAGTTTGTCAAAGGTTAGCTGTGCTATTCTAGTCTCAGCCCTAAATTCCAACCCCTCGCATCTCATCGAATTGGACATGAGCGAAAACAAAGACCTGCAGGATACTGGAGAGAAGGAGCTCTGTGAGTTTCTACAGAATCATCACTGCAAGCTCCAAATATTGAGGTAATGTTCCATCTTTCTCTTTTTGGGGAGTACTTATGAAGAGAAATCTGTGTTGACATGAAACTGCAGACATATGAGAATGTTTGTGATATTCAAATGGAAAATGCATTTATTTTTTTATACTGTTTTCTCTCTTTTTTATCATAAAAATCTAGCAACAATAAAAGTATAAAAATGAAAAGCTTGAGTTTAAAAATGCCTGGTTTAATAACTGATCACTGAATACGGTGACAACGTATGTTTAACTATCATGAGCCAAATTTAAGTTTTTAGCACATTTTTAGATTTGAGAAATATATACTCTTTGAATACACTTTGTGTACTCAAAATGACAATAAAAGTTATCTAAGGCTAAGACTCAAAAACATGTTTCCCACATTTGTGAAACAGAGTTTTTCCAAGAATATTTTTTCATAATCATGGTTATAATGGCTTTCAAACAAACAAAATTAAAATACAGTAAAAATCCTCGACCAGTGTGCAAGATAATATTAGATCCTAAAAATCTCTGAAGTCAATATCAGATGACATAAGGCAGAGAATGGAGGATTAAATGTCTCTAATTTTTCAGTTACCTATTTCATAACAAACACAATCAGGCTTAAATCAGAGGAAACCGAACTTTAGCTCATTTTTTTTCGAAGACGTTTTGCCAACTATACAGAGCTCTGTCAGATAGTTCTGTCAGCTCAAACCAGTAAACTGTAGTCAGAGCTCTCATGTATTAAAGCTACACGGAGGTTCATCCTCCTAGTAACAGAAGTCTGTGGAAATTCATTAACAAGATGGAAAAGACACATGGAAAAAGAAAAAAGCACATCAACATTCTTTTGTACATAGTCTCTCTCTTACAACCACAGTTTTAGGCAGGGGTGGGCAATTCCAGTTCCTGGGGACCGGTATCCTGCAACTTTTAGATGTGCCTTGGGTTCAACACACCTGAATCAAGTACTCAGATAATTGGGAGGACTCTGCAGGAACCGACTGCATACTGAGGAGGTAACTCAGCCATTTGATTCAGGTGTGTTGGACCAAGGATGGATCTAAAAGTTGCAGGATACCGGACCCCAGGAACTGGAATTGCCCACCCCTGGTTTTAGGCCTTTGCTCATTTCTGTACAGACATACCCCTTTTCAACATGACATCCTTGATGTCATAAAAGCTTTCTCCAGGACTGTTTTGAATGATCTGACTGGACTTTGTTCCATGATGCAGAAACCTATGACAAGATGAATATAGATGAGTATGCCATGACTGTTTCAACCAACAGCAACAAATGCATTGAGGACACCAGCATTACTAAGAACATCACCACCCAAGCCAACCAACCACCTCGGATGAATGGGGAGGTTCGCAAACCATAGAGATACGGAACTCAGCTTCCAAGTCTGGTGACAGAGGCTCTGAGAACAGCAAGAGCCAGCTTGAACTGTGCCATCGGATCAGCAAAGCAGAACCAAAGCTGGAAGATCCAGGATCTCTTCCATGATGCCTGCAATGCCAGGAGGATGTGGCAAGGCATACGGAGATCACAGACTAAGACACACCCTCCTCTCCGGTAGATGCAGCTGATGCTGACTTCCTGAATGAATTAAACAACTTCTTTGCAAGGTTTAGGGCACCAAACTGCACTCCAGCAGTGAAAGCTGTTCCACACCAGGGGGAGGAGGCACTAAACCTGGATGTAGCTGATGAGAGGAAAACTCTGAGCAGAGTCAACCCGAGGAAGGCCCCAGGGCCTGATAACATACCTAGGCAGGTGTATAAGGAGTGTGCAGATCAGCTGGCTGGTGTCCTCACAGACATCTTTAACACCTGGCTGGACCAATCCATAGTGCCAGCATGCTTCCAGTCTGCCTCCATTATTCCAGTCCCAAAGAAGCCTCAGGTCGCCTCCCTCAATGATTAGCGGCCTGTCGCTCTGACTCCCATCATGATGAAGTGCTTCCAAAGGCTGGTTAAAGAACACATCGTCTCCAGTCTGCCGCCAACATTCCACCCGTTCCAGCTCGCCTACCGACGGCACCGCTCCTCTGAGGACGCCATCTCTGCTGCTCTCCACCTGAGCCTGGCACACCTGGAGGAGAAGATTCCACGCACTCGTTATCAAACCA